TGTACCCAGGAAACTTCATTTACGCCAGAATGACCTTGTTTGCAACTCCGGGTGACATTCTATAGACAACCGTTTCTGAACCAGTCCAACGAGAAATCAATTCTATGATTCAACGTTTTGTAAGTGGGTTAGATGCTACTACCCCAAAATGCATATGGTTTTTCGTTTGTTTTACAAGACATCCAAGGAGTTGTGCCTGGGGCTGGCAGATGCATTGGACGCTGGAGCGCTTTAAACCTTCGGCTTCCTGCTTTATTTTGACTGAGATACATTCGGCAAAAGTTATCACTGGAACGTAAGAATTTATTTTTTGGGGGTATTTATATGTTGCTTTCTCGTCCTTGGACTTGATATAAACTTGCGCATCACCTTTTCTGGGTACATCAACTTGTCCTCCCGCATCAACTTGATGCACTGATTGTGCAACAGACAGAAGGTATGCAATTTCGCCTTACAAGGAGTGCTTTTCTTAAGATATTCCTCTGCAAAGATACATTTTTTGTTCGATTTAGACTCAGTGATCTTTGACTAGTTGAGTTGGTTTGGTGAGTGATTTTTGTCACGACCTTTGCCATTTCTTAGGATAGTTTCGTGAATTCTTACCGGAGGTCCACCATATTCCTTAAGGAAAATACATCATAAATCTTGCGTCAAAATCGTAGGTTTAAATTTAAAAGTCGTGAACTCCGTGTTTTTCTCTGAAGAAATCACCAAATAAAATCATCACGAAGATAAACAAACCATTTGCTCTATATTGTCTCAGATATTCGGACTCACGTGGATGAGACCAATTCGTGGGTTTCACCAAATTTCACATTATGCCCAAGAATCCATCATTCCAGCCGGGTTAACTACGCGGGAGTTTCATTCCTCGAATAACCGTGATTTGGCCGACGGATCACTGCGGATCCCGAAGTTTGCCGAACGAGCTGGTCATGGTCTGATCCTGAACCAGCCACCCTTGGAATATTTGGGTCTACATCCTAACGGAGGGATTGAATTACAGCTACCGTTAAAACGTAATTACATCAAGCCTGCATTGAAGCGAGTCGCCCAGCCACATTTATATTTGCGCCAGTTCATTCAGTATCCCGTGTTGGATGAGGCGAACCGCAAGAGGTGAGATAAAAATTCATGGTTGTTAAGTAAAGGTGAGAATGATTTCTGGTAATTTTACTGTTGTGCCAAGGATTGCTGATACCATTCATTTTTCCAACCCCGTTTCATTATTTTGAGGGCTAACCTACAACTAACAACCTCGGTGGTTAAATAAGTGCAAAGTGAATGAAGCTTTTAATGTTAGACCCGAGTCCACGATAATTGCACACCATTTGTTTTCTTTTCGATTAAAGCATACTAACTGCTTTTCGAGACTAACAAGTCCGATCCGGTATCTGCAGTTTGAGAATTCTTTTCATCAGCGATCGGATAGTATCATTGAGTGCTTTTATTGCAGAGAATTGTATGGGTACTGCGTCAAGGAAAATCGAATGAAATTAAAACAGAACTATTTGATAAAGTACTTTAAAATTGCCCAAATGCGGTAATTCAGAACAATCATTATACATGGGATAAATGAGTAGTGGAGAAGAATATAAATCATCCATGATGAACTGATACGAACGCCGATGACACTATCGTTGATGAGATCTATACCATGCGCATTCATAAAGATTTCCTTCTCCAGGATACAGTCGAATAATATCTTTGTCTGGCCATCAAAGTCAGTGTTTATGATCGTTTCCTTGACGACCACATTTGATAGCAGCAACTGGTGGCAAAGCAGTATGAGTCTTCGACTTCCCAGGAAAGATCGTCTAATGCATACTGAAGTGCAAACAAACGTCTGACCAGTAAACAAAGTAATGCAGGCTATAACGCGATCGCCTTTATGTGGATTGCGTGATCTCCCATTTGCTTACTTCAAGGAATTGAGAACAAGTATCAAAATCCTTAACCAACGGAAAATATTCAATCACATTTGTGTCGCACCAACTTCTTCAGCTATATGAATATTATACTCATAGTGTATTTACGCAGGTGAGTTAGTATGGGTGAAACGATAGAATTAATTCTATTTTGATGTCATATGCTTCATTCATGCTCCTTCTGAGTAGTTTGTCCCTTTGACAAAACTTGAAGCATCACAATCAATACATACACCGATCGTTCTTTGTGATATATGCTGTTTAATTTACAATACAAAGTAATGGTTTTCTGACAGAACTCAACTTAAGTATTGGGATTTAGTTGGAAAAATCAGTGTTTCGCGACGACGAAGCGCACTATATTCTCACACAACTATCCTGCGTAGAATATGTATAATTTACATCGCCCTGTCAATAGGCCTGGTGCCAAAGCCACAACAATTCTAACAATAACAATAACATGGAGCGGGTGGGTGGGAAGAATGTGGAACAGATGGAATAAAAAAGTAGAATTATGGAATAACAAGATTTTTTTGTGCGTGTATCATCATACACCTTGGATATTTTTTACGGGGCACAGGATTTCGACAGACAGACCGTACAGCATTCGCGTCATTGACTTCCATTCTGGGCCATATCTATCAGCGTCTCTAACCAACGACAATCCTCATCCCTTGGGCGCCAACCTGGAAGGCCAGCTGCACCAACCAAAGCCAAAGCTGGAGTCAGCTTCTTCATGCCTCTATCCCATGTCATGGTCCGAACGCCGCGCCGCTTCTTCTAGCCTTGTCCGGCAGGTGCAAAGAGAGCACGGAAAGGTAGGCGATGGGAGGCATACGCAATACGTGACCAAGCCATCGGAGGTGGTGTAGAGCGATTACTTCCGTTAGAGAACGACTATCCGCACCCAACACACGACGACGAACTTCTTCAATACTCACCCGGTGTTCCCACCGGACACGAGCAATGCTTCGGAGACATCGGTGGCCAAATACAGAAAGTCGATTAGCATCCTCAACGCGAAGGGGCTAAGTCTTGCAACCGTAAATGAGAACGCTACGAACCGCGGTGATGTGCACCTTTCTCTTAAGAGATATTTGAATGTCATGGCGGTGCCACATGTGTCGCAGGTTGGCGAAATGGGCTCTAGCTTTTGCTATTTGTGATGTGATCTCGTCCTCAACACCACCACCAGCTGCGATCAAGCTCCCTAGGTACTTAAAGCTCTCAACTACTTCTAGCGGATCACCACAGAGGGTGAGTCTAGGCACAGGCTCCTGCTTGTCTTTAACAAGCACTTTGCACTTTGATGGTGCAAAGCACATACCATACCTAGATACTTCGATCGCCAAGCGGTTCAAAGCCTGATGGACTGCCTGTGTATTGCCATCCGGTAGGTCGATGTCATCGACATATTATTAAGTCAAGGACACTGTTCCCTGTGATGATTTTGACTCCACGGTTAACTAGACCGGATTCGAATCGACACGATTAAAACATCTGTTTTTGTTACTTTTCGTTATATGAGTCCTGGATTTAATTGTGCTATTCCACTGTTTTTTACTCTAGTAAAGATTCGCTTCATCCTTGGAACGTAACAAAAAATACGCAGATACGTCCCATTAATTTGAAAGCACAACGGGGATAACATCTTTTTCTACAAATGTTGATCACTGTGATGCCGATGATGGAATTTGTTTTGAAACTCTGTTCCTGTTCTTGTTACAGTCTTGGTCAGGGCTGCATACCTCATCATAGCCACAGGTTACAGCTTTTCAATCAGAACACTTGCAGACCAAAGGTTATTTTTCATAGTTCGTAATCCAGCCGCGACAATTTATTTCAGAAGGTAGAACCTCAATGGTTTGGAATTCAACAGTGGATTGTGTGCACCTGGTCACTGAATGTATCCATCTGTGGTTCCTTCTCATCAGTTATAAAGGGAGAGGGGCTCATATGTGTGAGCGGGGATGAGTACGTACGCATCCCGGATTGATGTGTTTAGTGTCGCTAATCCTGGGAGGGGAGGGGAAGAGCTTGGAGTAAATAGTTAAATTCAAACGTTTACAATGGGCAATTTAACAAAGTTAAACCTTATCATTTCCCCATAAGGATATTTACAGAATATTTTGAATAACTTCACAAGGAGAAAATAACAATAATAACAATATGCATGATCCCTCACGGATGTCTTAATTTTAATTGTTCCAATGTTTTATCAAGCTGCGATTTAAATAGTTCACACACTACATCGGATGGAAGAGAATTCCATACGCCGCACACTCTGATTGCAAACGAGTGATGCCGGCAATCAAGGTGTCTGTTCTGGGTCTTCACCTTTAGTGGATGTCCACTGAGGTGATCATATTTTGAGATAAAGTTAGCATAGAACGACAAGAGTGGTTGGGTTGATGCAGTATGTGATATGCCAAGATTAGATCCCCCCCCCCGAAGTCGGCGGTACTGAGATGAGTAGAGTCCCAATATTTGCAGTATTTTCGGAGTATGTCTTGTTATAGAGACCTTTTACCAATTTTGTTGTTACCCATTTGTGGACGTTCACAGGCCTTCTTGTCGCGGTTCAACCATGAATTCCATACTTGAACGACTGCATTCATTGTTTGTTGGAATGCCATATACTCCTCTGGATGTGTGGCAGTTCTCCAGATCTTAGAGTCGTTCGCAAATAGTAGTGTATTTGGCCCAAGAACATGTGGTAAATCGTTTATAAATGCAAGATAGAGACGAAGCCCCAGTACGCATCCTTGAGGAACCCCTCGGGCAGTGGTGATTGGCTCTGATAATGAATCACCCACACGAACTGACAAGGTACTTGGTCTGAAAAACACATTGATGCCGTCTGAAACCAAACCTCTTACTCCGTAGTTGTAGAGTTTTGGCAGTAGAATTCGGTGGTTTATTCGTTAAGATGCCTTGGAGAAGTCCAAATAAACTATATCCGATTTCTGGCCTGCGTCGACGGATTTTGTCTACTGAAGTAGATTTGTGGTGCCCGAGCGCTTGTGCCGAAATCCGCGCTGAGTTGGAGACAAAAGCTCATGATTAACTTCTGTTGATGCGTAACAGTTCTGCAGGTCTTAGTGTCGTTCGCAAATAGCAGTTCATTTGGCCGAAGGCCAGGTGACAATAGATTGTAATAATAAGGACTCAAGAAAAATCATCCTTTAACTCTTTCCGTCTCTGTTATTTTTATGAGGCAAGTTTAAATCTTTCATATAATTCAATATGGCAACTCTATCGGATAACCAAATGAGATCCTTTCACAACCCAGAGAAATTGCAATAAATATTGTTGCAATATAATAATCTATATTTGATATCTAACTCACTGAATTCGAGAATTACCACTTCAGTCAAAGTCAGCCGTAAATTCCAGGTCATTTTTTTTGCACAGCTTTGAATATTCGTATTGATGTCACCATGATGAAGCAAGCCACGCTCAAAACCAAAAGTTTTCGCTATCTCAGTTAATAGGCCAGAAATAGAATTGCGCGAAGAGACAAGCTGGGATTTCCCATATTACATCTTGCCCAATGCTTTAACGTTAACAAAAGCACAATTTACAGGATAATCCATGGAAAAACATCAACCAGAAAAGCTTGTGTGGCCGTAAACCGAGTCTGTCCAAACGGGAGGATGACCCTATTCGCATTGCTCTGAAAAAACTTTGCAGAAAATCGTTTTCGTCTATCCATCGGGAAGATCTTCCCCGCCGTTCATACTCCCTTCTGCAAAGAAGAATGAAAATAATTAAGATGCGTCAGGTTGCAGCTGACGTCAAGCCAGCATTGAACACGCAGTAAAGGCAGGCGGGTATTGATCTTGTCTGAGAATTCAAATCTCGTCATGCGTCATTTTGGCGATCGATTTACTTTTCCGACGAGTGCATGGTGTGCGACGAATCTTGGAAGGCTCAAAAAAGGTCATTTGTGGTGAGAATTTTTCAAAAGAACTTATTCCACCGAATGAAAGAGTTCCTTGCTCGTCGAGATTATTCATTTGGGCAGGGATAGAACATTGTCAGCCTTGTTGGTGGACATCAGTCAAAGAAACAATGAATAGTGGGAAATTTGCATCAGTAATTTCGAAAATGTTTTCAGAAGTTCATGAAAAAAATCGTCTGGAAAAGTTATCGTTTTTCAGGATATTGCTCCGTGTCATGTCTCACGAGAATTATGTAAATTTAATAATTTAGGCAGTCTGGTTCTCTTATTATTTGCTTTTATACTTCAGAAACGATGCGTGATTCTAAGTTTCTGTTCATGTACATTTCTCCTAATAGCCCGGATCGCAAACGTGATTGAAAATCAGTTTCCTGTTTTGAAGAGAGAGGTCAATGTGCTGCCTATACATTGAACACTGGAGGCAAAAGAGTGACACATAATGGAGCACACAATAGAAAATGACTTCATAACAACGTTGGTGGATTCCATGCCGAAGAGACTCAAAACATTCCTAAAGACCAAAGGCAGACCAATCGAATTTTAGTCTAGATAAACCTCACATCTTGATTATTATGAATGTTAATTTGTTGTATATAAAAACTGTTCCATTCTCTTTAGTTACCTCTTAAATCATCATGGTCCAGGTCAACCACTAATAACGAAATGGGAGTATCCGCTACATTTTGAACCATTCTATCTGCTGATTATAAGTAAATCATAAAAATCACGTCTATAAAGACTCACCAAGGCTTGTTTAATATTATTTGGAAAACAAATTTACTTCAGTATAAATGCTGTTGCCTAGATGAACCGACAACTGTTTTACAGGGAACCGTTGCTTTAGTTTCGATTAGACCTGTAGAAAGTCTTTCGATAATTGAAGGTTTAGTGTGCGAAATTATGAGAGCGAGAACGTTCATAGTTGTCTGCGTTGTGATCTATTGTGCTACTCGTTCGCCCAGTCCAGAGTAGGCTTTGTTCGAGGATGCACTCTAGCGTTGTGCAACCAAGCGCGGACTGCAAGACAGCACTGATGTTCCAGATGAGCCGGTGGCCGGTTTTCGATTCATTCGTCTCTTCTGGAACACCTTATCGGGGGAAAGGAACTGTAGAAGGGGCCATGGCCATATATAGTGGCGGGCCACACTCTCTACGTCACAGCGCTGTCCACATATAATTGTGGTGTTTTCTGCGGAGAACCGTTTCTAGGTTTTGAATCCACCACATCCTCGAGCGCTGCCGCTGATTGTCCGCGACCGCTTATTCGGAGGGCCAAAGCCCGCCTTATTCACGATTAGCCGCGAGGTGACGGCTCTTCCCGTATCCGCGACCTGGGGCTGCGCTCGGTAGCATACAGCTCTTCTTTCCGGAGACGAAAAAACATAGTTCTTGTTCTTTAATTCCAATGAAGGTGTGTAATTCCCATGTCACTCTGTTCTGTACCACAATCAACCTAACCTTCTGCTATTTTTGTGTTTGCGTTGGTATCATGCTGATTATGATATAAACATATATATATGGTGATAAACCTGAAGGATCACTGACCTCTCATAAAAACACTCGTTGCAGCATCGAAATCTACTGTCTGACCCATTCACCATAAAACTTCAAAAATATCCATATCTTTAACGAGAAGGTTTTTTGTTTTATCGTTTACGAGAACCTAAGCTATTCCACAAACTACTCCTGGGCATCGTTCACAGCTTGAAGGCATTTCAGTTTGCTGAAATGAGTCTTTGGCTCATTTGAACTTATGATGTCCCCATGTTTGCCATTCAGCCCACATTCGACCCAACAAGGAGTGAGCAATTCAAAGGTGGAGAGCATAGCTGCAACGCAATCGTAATATTTTGGCACATCCGATGAGATGACTATGAGGCTGCATTCCAAGACCCATGTGGAAAGATTGCAATTATTGGGGTTGTTTTCCACCCAGCATAGACGAATTCGAGGAAACTTGATTTTGGCCAGTGGATCACGAGATATATATCTGATCAAATGGTGACAGTGACAAGATGCACCAAATGATTTTTAAAAAGAAAACGAAACCTGTTTGATAACCTTCTACGTAAATGCTATTAAGTTATGTTTTATTTCTGTTTTACCAACGTAGACACAACACTCGTGTACTTAACACAAATGATATTAGCAGGTTTCCATAACAGTTTTGTGGTGTTCATCGTTTCTATGCTTGAAAAATGAGATGAAAATCAGTTGAACGTTACACTATAAGCTTTTAGCCTACCTTTGAATCGTTTTGGAGCGATTCTTGAACAAATAATGGGTAATCTTCTTCAGTTGCATCCAAACCGTCCGACTTGGTGTCCTGCTTAAATGAACAGGTGGGTTCCATATGTGCACCACTGGTGCCTAGCGCAGCTAGCGATTTCTGGAACGGTATAAATGCCCATTCTGACGGTGTGGTTGATACTTGTCTGGCGCCAGAGAACAATTCGGTAACATCGGTAATCCGTAATAGTTGTTTTGCTTCCTGACGCTGCGGATTAATGTGAAACAGCATTGGAATGTGTTCGTCTATTTTCACAAACTCATAGACCGGAACCGTGTTATTATCCGTGTTCATGGGATTCGGATCTTGGTCAGGTGATAAATCTGGTGGTTCCTCTTTAACTGGTAGATATGGGTTGAAAAAAATCAAAAGAACAATATCCGCGGTAAGATTTCTCTTTTTAATTCCAATGGATAATGACAAATTTGCTTATAAACATATTAAACTTTCAGTGCGTACAATATAATAGTTCAATAATAGTACATCGTTTTAAAGTTATGAATGAATATAATTATTCTAAATTCTCTCCGGTTGATCACACTTGAAAATATCTATCCTTCATTTAGCGAATAACAACACCACCTAATTGAGTTAGTACTTGAACATTTCTTGCTCACACGATCTTAATCGTATTAACGTAATGCTGTGTCATACTATCGCGTTCTGTGTATTACACCATAAGAATCTTAAAATAGTCGTCATGTTAAATCAATAAAATGTGTAATCAGTTACCAAAACGTTTTCTGTTTTTGAAACAGAACATCCAGTATACCAACGTTGCACGCATTATGTTCAAGACAATTTTTCTGCATTGTTCTCTCCTTTCTCTGTTTTTCCCTACTTCAGAGAACTGAAACCCTTTAAAAAAGGTTTGTTTGCAAAAAGGAATCAGTGACATTTTCAAGATAATCATTAGGAAGGAAAAACAATTTTTTATAAGCATCTTTGGATTGTTACATCAGGGTGGGTGGTCCTCTGACATGAATAATAAGAACAATGTATTTTTGTTTATTCTAACCTTGAATGGAAAACACAAAGTAAACACCCATACAAATACATAGCACCTACGTGGGAGCAATCCAGGTGACAGCCTCAAACTAACAGCTATTGAAGATGCAGAGTTACTTTAAAACGAGGGAAAACAGTTTGCAAGAAGATCACAGATTTCAAGGGTTTTCCCTTACACTTTGATGTTTGCTCATCCTTTTCTGCTTATCTTTTTCCTTAGGGGGAAGTACAATTGCACTCGAATGAAGTATCATAGATGAATTATCGGCAAGTGTACAGAAAACTTTGTTGCCGTTTGCAAACACGAGACACCACACGAGATACTCACTTTTCCGTGAACACTCAAGTGCATGTTGAAATGGTTCACACATTACTGCTGTATAGCGCGAAGTTGTTGTGTAAGAGAACAGGATAAAAATAGACTGTCGGTGGGGATCGATTTCCGCACCGTTAGCATCCAACACAGGATGACAAATCTCGTCATTACTCACCCGGTTTTTTTCATCACATGCAACAAATGCATTGAAAATATCGCGAGTGGAATACTGAGAGTCTAGAGACAACTTCAGTGCATGACAATGTCAACCGCGGCGATCTCCACCCTTCCATTCAGGGAAAATGAGATAGCACGGCATCCCATTGATACCGCAAGTTGGTGAAGTCTCGAGTTCAATTCTTGGTTGGGTCGATGATTTCGCACTGCTGGTGAGACTCATTCAATTTAAAACAGCTCTAAAGGGCCCTCGCACTTTTCAGCTCACATTTGATTTGCTCAGAACACGTCAATATCACCTATGTCATCGAACGATATCCTTCACTACTCTCATCATCCGAATCGTGTTGGTTGCTTGTGCATTTCCAATCATCAGGGTAGTGCCATCGGTATAATCGAGGTCGCAAACACTGTTTATTTAGAAAATTTCGAACAAGTCTTGTGGAAGAACATTTTCTTTGGTCATGGTATAAGTTTATAATTGCGATTTTCATGACCAAACGATAAACACTTGTGTTCTGTCTATACTCTACATGAAGCCAGCAAGACTCGGTTACTGTCAGCTTCTACACTGATCATTTGGAGAGAGCACAATTTGGATCAGTTTTGCAGTTTAGATTTTTTTACCACCATTAACCCTGCGATTCAATGCGCCGTTTTTATATCATAACTTCCATTCACAGCCTTAATTTACCCTCTACATTTGCACTGCACCGACTGTTGACAGATTGTTTATTACGTTACTTATGAATAAAACTACAGGATTCAGAATACGTGTGATTAATTTGAGATTTTCACTTACTGTTAATCGCTCTAAAAATGCATTTGCCTCGAAAACCTGAAAGTCTGTAGAACGTGTGGTTTTACTTTTAACCCATTCTACAAACTGTCATTAAACATGAATTCGCTTCAAGCACCATCAAATCAAGTAAAGAATGCACGTCCTTTTTTCACATCAAGATAACTTTCCGGCGACATACTATGATGGTTGATGCGAAAAATGCTTTACACCTGTTGAAAAGGTATGATGTCGGTAAATTGTTTTATATTTGATCAAATATGTTCTGTTTAGAAATGAGTATTCTGGAGGAGGGAAACAAAGCGACCGTCTGATTAACAGAAAATTCCCGATAAGTAAACCAATAAAATAGCAAGAGAACCATACTTCCCGTGTTATTGAAAGCAAAAATCGAGTAAACTTAAAGGTAATGTCGAGGGGATGCTTTCTGGTAATCTCAAACTGAGAATGATCTATGGCACTTGATAAAGATTTCCTGACCGTGAGGGTGCCTGTTACAATGAAACAAGAGATACACACCAATATATATCAGATAGAATACTGTTTTTTTATGAATTCATCCTCCATAAATAGGATAACAAGGTCTACGATCAATCGTGTAGGAATTCTAAGATTGCTTCCCGAATTTTGGGGCAATTTAAGGGACGTAGATGATTGTGCGGTGGTTCAAATGTGCAGTTGTAATGGGCGATCATAAGTTCTGCAGTCAGAAGAGCAACAGTTTACAATGGCCTCAGAATATTTAAACGTGAATAACCATGTAGCTGTAGGAAATCTGTCCGTGATAAAAGAAAGCCTTCTAATTTGAAAAGACGACACTTCGAAGTACTCCGGTACTGACTAGAGCATCACTATTGTCGTAAAGCAGCAGAATACTGGAAATTGTCTAAACAAGTTCTATTGTTGCATAGCGATAATTTTAACAGAAATATTATGCAGATATGTGATTTTCACTGTGGTATCAATTATCTTGAGGCTAATTACATGTAAAATGGAATCAAGAAAGACAGAAACGATTAAAGCAATCAAGAAATTCATGTCCAAGTCAAATATGCAAAAGACATTTTAAAAACTATTTTTCAAAGAGTTTTCACGAAAAAGAAATACATATTCATCATTTTTTCCGTTTGAAATCGGTGTGAAAACCCTTTATTACAACACGAACATTCACAAAGATATCTCATGGGAGTGAATTTGGGCCGTAATTCAAAATGAAGAACTCAATAACAAAAGGGGTTGGCCTCCTAAAATAACATTTTTCCCACTCATTGAATGGCCCTGAATATCCAGAAGACAGTTCCGTTGGACTAGCTAACTTACCGGTAAGCATAACATTGCAATTTGCTAACGCGTCTACCGTGAACGCGTTTCCCTGTGGATCAACCGCTTCCAAAAGGCTGGAAACCCCGTCACTGCGCATCCCGTAAGCAACCACCATGGGATTACGGGAAGGGTTTGACAACGAAAGTTTTGATAAAGGAGAGCTGTAGAAAATTGAACCATCGGACAGAACGTTCACCTGTCCACCTTTTGAGTGCTGCAAATGAGATTGTCACAGTGAGAAGAAACAACAATGAAACATCCCTGTATTTCTTACGTTTCAATAAACATTCAGTCCAGCGAAAGTCATAGAAACATAATTTCGAACAAATCCCCACATTCTGGATGCAAATAGTTTGTCTCTGATGAATCAGCTGATCAGTGTGGTAATATTAGTTCTGAAAATTACATCTAAATCAAAATGCTATACAAAATACCTCGTTTGCATGAAATTGAGTTAATCGAATAAAAATAACTACCCACTTTTCCAAGCTTTTGGAAAATAGAGCTACGGATTTCTATTTTAAATAATAAAATTTACTGTTTGATTACAGGCCGAGACAAAACCGTTATGATCTTTTTACCAGCCCCATGAATTTAATGGTGGATCACCAGATTACGAACAAAGGACCCGCAGATTTCAGCAACGACGTCGAGGGATCTGATCAACTTGAGAGACGACACTCAACCCTAAATCAAAGTCCAATACACCAACTGATCATCAACCCCAAGCATCTATCCTATGATTCATGCGTGATGTTTACTACTTAATCTTTTAAAAGGAGGAAGGCGTAGTGTGAATTCGAACTGACTATCACTGAAGACAACACCTGAACAAACCTGAATTAGCAATTTGGTTCAGCCATGGTATGAGCTATTTTGCGCAGTGGTAACGCACATGCCTTCCATGCGATGGGTTCGGAGTTCAAAGACCGGACAGGATAGTGGATGTGCACTACCGATGACCTCTAATAACAGCGAAACTCGATTCTAGTGATTTCCAATGTATGGTTGAATCGATGAAATGAGGATTGTGCGTGAGGGTGAAATCCGAAGTAAAGTCAGTCAAATCAATCAAAATTTAAATTCTGACGAAGCTTACCCGCATGATATAGCATGTGACTGGTCGGCCTGCTATCGATCTCGCCATTATTGGCAGACCCGATGTTTTATTGATCTGTGTTTTAAATGTTGTTCCAGTAAATCGTTTTGACACAATTACAGTCCTTTTTTGCTGTTCTGGTCGCTCATCAGGTACGCGTATCCAGTAATCATCTTCAGCTCATTCACTTACGTATCCTATATATACATGTAAATGAAGTGCGTGATAGAATTGAATTTTTCATCAGTCAGTGCACCGGTGTGCAGATTTTGTAGCTGTCAGTCATTCAATCATCACGGGTTAATACGATCGTGATATTATATTTTTCTACTTCAAAGTGAGTGCTGAAAGAATTGGCCGAATTTGATGTTTTGAGAATTCACACCTCCTGCTTCTTCTTTGGTCGCAGTATCAAGGCTGCGTTACTGATCACGATCTCGTGGTCTGTCTGTGTGCAGTGGTTTTAGATTTGTCCCCTAGGGTCAGCACCTTGGTGACAAGCTGTTGTTTGCATAGACCAAAGTGTAGTTGTTTACCAGTCTCACCTGCGCAGTATTGGCTGTCAACTGGGCACGGGATTGCGCATGCTACGATGGATAACAACATGGTTGATTTTATTCCCCTATCCCTAACTCCAAGGTGATGCAATGTGTGTCCACTGGGTGGAATAGGGGCCGCACAGTTTTCAGACCATACAGAAAATAGGTGCTGTCGTAATTTAGAATGCGATTCGTTTTGGACAACTTTTGAAATAGTCTGTGGTCTCTGTTCTTCCCCCTGGTTGTTGTATGATGAGGATATCGGAGGAGAATTGACCGTTCTTCTCTTATTCTTGTGTAGATTTAATGCTAAGTAATAGTTTGTTGGAAATGAGTTGGAACTGGTGTACCACGGAAGTTCCGAGTAAGACATCATTTATGTCCACATTTAAGGATGTGGGATTTTGAATGCATGGGCTTTAAATCGCCTCATAACTGCTCCTGCAATCAGGACTCAGAGTAGTGAATCCACAGGAGTTTCTCGAATCTACTAATGCACTTTTCTGTCGAACTGGAATCAAATTTTCATAGGAAGCTTGAAGAGTTTCACTACTTTGTCCTCGTTTGATGAAGTTCTTTACTGTAGATTTTCCTCATGTTTCGAAAGACATCTAACACTTCCGATGATCATTATTTTCGACGCATTGGGGAAAAGCTTGGCTGTATATCAGGATACCATCACTTTACCCGGTTCAACCGTCAAGCATTTGGTTTATTTCGGGCATTCCGTAGGATTCTTTTGTATCAGTGTAGTTTTCATTTAAGAATGGACGTAGTAGCCAATAAAGGTACTTTTCCGTATTGGGTTTGGTGCTGACTGAGGTGTTTCAATGTGTTGTAATGATACACGGAGCTTGTGCAAACATGGTTGATCAAAGAACTGTGGTGTCGGGCCATCTATTGGTTTGATTGATCTACGTTCCTCATCAGGGAATTCGGTTTTTTTTCAGGATGTTGAAAGATTTGTTTAGTTTATTCCTCGGCTGCTTTACGGAGTTTCCATTAACAATGCTTTACGCTTCTATGATACGTTATTTCATCTTCTCTGAGTGGTTCTTTTCGATTCGACAGTCCAATTGCATTAATTTCATCTACCGGAAGGATGACAATGTCTGAGTCCTTTTTTAGCGACTTCACAAACCGGAATTTCGGCAACAGAGACAAAATAATACATCTTGGTTGAGATGAGCTTTCGGTATACTCTGATTCTAATACCTTCAGGGTTTTTTTGCGGATATCGAAAATTTTCTCAGTCTGCGCTACACACGTGATAAAGTCGATTTATTTGGATTTTAGGTTGTTTGATTTTAGGTTCATGTTCAGAATTAATAATTCTTTCGATGTGAATCGATATTTGAAATAGTTATCAGTGGGCTCAGAATGCTCTAAATATGTATCGCTTAAGTTGCCAAGATTCGTGGTTAGTTCCATTTGTATTTTCAAACGGTTTGCAATAGATATTTGTTCTATAAATTTACTTAATATAAATATATGTATATTCGTATGTATATGTGTACTCATATATGTATATATGTATATAATTTGTTTACTAGTAAACAGCCATAAAAATAACGCAATATTATTGAAAACTATAAACGACAATGAAGGTGTAAGATTATATTTAATTTGCTCACCAACAGAACATGATGTCCATGTGAACTGGTAAATAGTTTTGAGGCTGTGGAGCCATGACCAAAAAGACAAGTTTCAAAATCACCAGTAGTCTGATTCAGTAAAACTGATGGAAACCCCGGACATTCAGTACGTATTAAACGCTGTGCGCTGACCGAGGCGTTATCGGATGATTTGTTACCGTGTCTTGTTCCAGATTCGATTCTCCTCTCGTTATGCTCTTTCTGCAATGAAATTCAATGCAAGAGTGATATTTCATTAGAATACAATTAGCTGTATAATGTGGTCAGATTAATTCAACTGGCTCCATGACTATCATCTTGCTATCAATTGCTATTGGGATTTCGAAATAAACAACTGCTACAGATCCTCATTTGAAACTTGCTGGTGAAGTAGCTGAAAATTTAGAGGAGTTTCTCGTTTTTATTTCTAGCTTTTCATTCTGCTCAGGGCTTTAGCACTTTAGAAATTTTGTAAAGGGGTTCGGTTCTATTCAACACGTTTTGTGGTTTAAAATGACCAAATGAGAGCGATTTCTTATTTCAGTCATCCTTACTCCCATTAGTTCTTCGTGAATTTGACTTTGCTACATCATCAGCGATAAACATGAACCAGGGAAGAAATCAAATTGTGTTAAATGATAATCAAGGATAAAGAAGCGAATAACAGTTTGGTTTGTACGTACACATAGGACATTTTGTTTGTTGCAATCAAAATGCTTCGTAAATTGCTAACTGCAGTTGTCATATCTTGCTTGGGAACAAGCGGGATTCGAGTTAATTATTAGAAACGGAATTCGTTTAGTACAACTATGAAAAGTGTCATTTGTATAAAATATGAAGCCCATATATCACGAGCTCAAATTTATATTATGTGGAGGAAGTCATATAGAGAATCCTCAACCGATTCGCATGCATGACTGCATCATGATACAAAGTTCTAATGCACAAGTACATGATAGACAACATTACTTTTAAATGCATTATTTAAAAGCGATTCGGAACCAGTCAATGAATAAAATATTAGGTCAGTGAAATACCGTGTTATACTTGCACATGAGAGCAGGGTAGGACTTGATTCAATTAGTCAATGGATTTCGTTCGAATGAATGGGGAAATGAAAAACTAGGACTCACTGGACAGATGTTTTAAAATTATTGAGTCTCATCGGCCGTGCAGATCCCTCGAATCAACTAGAGACCAACACCGGAACCTCAAAGGTAGAACGCAAGCATTCTAACCACCTTCCTCCTTGCATTTGATCAAGCCGTTTTACATTTTTCTTCTACACGATGTAGCAAAGAATATATCCGTAAGCTTGTAGATGGCATGACACCTCACTCATCTCACGATTAGTCTCTAGGGTTATGGCTCTGTGAGGTTCTGCGAGGCTCCGGGTTCGATTTCCACTATTGATAAGACACATTTAGGGCGAAACAGATGTCCAGTGCTTCCCAGAGTGTTTTTCTTTTTATAAAGATTATTGTACAATGAATTGCTTGGCACACAGTCTATCCTCAGATAAGTTTGAAATGTAATATATAATACACAATGCTTCTTCACTTTTCAGTCTACACTTCGCTTGCTCTTCACACGACGAAATCTACTATATAATATGCACAAATTTATGCATGCGCACGAAACAAAACGATGGTAGTTTTTTTCATTCCTAACTATCATTTAGCGGTCTGATCGCTGCACAGGAGATAGATTTGAAAAATCATCCGCATTTATCCGAAATGTTACACTTATTATTCCTGCTAACCAACCCTAGCTCGAAGAAGAAAGGACACAAGAAGTAAGAGCAAGGACAATGAAGTGTTTGAAATCACAGCCAGATAGTTGAAACAACGTACAGCTTAATTCATGCACAAACCAACCACCTTACTGATAACAATTATTTCAAACCTACATGGAAAAATAACAAGTAAATGCAGAAGTAAAGCTATTTATGAAATAAAGTGCAAATACTCTCCGAGACTATATTACACCTCATCTGAAAGAACATCATCTACACGGGCCTTTAGTCAGGAGGTCTGATTTCATCTCACTATTCTCAATGTATTCACAGAAAAGGAAAAGAAATTAGCATTTCGGAATCTAGAAATCATGCACCAAATTAATGGGAGATTTAGAATTTTTTACCAACTCAGTTAACAGGCATAGCGATCAAGGTCACTTTATCTGGCCTCTGTAGCTCAGGGATTGAATGGCACTAAAATTCAGAGAGGATGTCTTTTCGGCTGGTAATGAAACTTATGTCAACAAATTGGACTCCTCAAAGAACATATTAAAACAAACTTGTTTAGCCCGAGCTACGTGAACCAATTTTGAATGTCATGTCACCTGTCTTTACTTGTTCTCCAATTTCACCACGTCCGTTTGTGTCCAGAATAGCATAAAGCTGACCTGTACCAAATGGCTGCATGTACTATACTTGTGATTTCAGTGACAAGGACCTATTTCTTCTAGGGTGATACCGGGGTTGGAAGTATGGGATAGAATCATATGACAGGTTATTACTTGATAAAGAAGTGAACGACGACAATGAATAACTTACCGTTGTGTATATTTGTAGTGTTTGTCTTGTTCCATCCGCGTGCTGAACAATGAAACCAGAACCGGGGTAGTGCGGACTGGGTTTGACAATCATTAATCCATCCTCGGGTCGAGTGAACAAAATTTGACCGGTGGCCGGATCATGTGAACAAAACACAGTCAACGAAGTAGACGGGATGATTTCACCGGTAGAGCTTTTCAATAAAGGCTCGTCGCAAGTAGCCGTTTCCAGCTTTATGTCGATCTCGTTCGATGCACTTGTTGCAGACAATAGTTCTGTTGCAGGTTGCTTCATAGTTTGTTCCACTTTAGGGGGTTTGTACCAATATCTTTCACCAGAAGCCAAAGTGACTAACCAGGGAGAAACCGGCGTTTGATGCACTTTTTCGACCTGAGCTGGACTATCTAGACCAATTGCCGGCTCTGGCGGAAATTCAACTGATGGCTCTGGAATGTAGCAAGCACAATGTTTTCAGAATAACCAGATAATGTCACATGCGTGTGCTGTTGCGTACAAAGTGGGAACAACGTTTGGATTATCATATGCAATTCACTGTCTTGAACTATATGAAAAACACTTATAAACATTTATGCTCCCGTGGGTGTCGCATGCATGTTTACCAATATGTATTTATTGATAATACTATTCTCACAAATTTACTCCTTCCTAATGTAATTGTCAACTTCTTCTGTTAGTGAATTTGTTAGAGTTATGCGCCCAATCACCTTCTACATGTAGTTCCCGTCGACCTTCAGCCTTGCCACATTTACCATTAGTCTAGTTGAATATCAACAAATTGCGACAGCATTCAGACAAAAATGTGGCTCGTCATGAAAACTGATGTGCATCTGAAGCAATAACTCACGGCATTGCAAATGCAGATTCGCATTCTGGTAAGGTAACACATTTCTGCTCAAAATTAAGAGTCATTATCAAAAGCAACCAGCGTCTCAAGGCTTTCCGATTATATTCACACTTTTTGGAAATCTATAACAGTGAAGCCATTAATTCCATGCAAGATTCATTTTAATGAAGTGTACATCTCTGAAGAGCCACCAGTTATTTTCAACTTGGGGATTTTCTACGAGGTATCAGGCAGTTTCGGATCTCTCATAACATCTAAAGTACCAAATATTGTGGTTGATTTTATCGATGCATGTGTGACTTAGGAATATACGCCCCCGATTAGCGAAAGATTTTGCAAAATGCTTGCACTTGTAATTTTGAAATCCGCTTTCGTTTTATCGAATGAATGACCGGCTTTGCGCGAAAATAACAAGATCAATCAAAGAGCCAGTCATTCAATGAAATACCAGTGAGTACGAGTAGAAGTGCTACTCGAATTATATCTGGTACTCATTCCACAAATAAACTGTGCTCTCTTCAAACCACTAACGAAGATTTAGAGTATCAAGCTTGGATTAGCCCAATCAACTGTTCAGAGGCACCAGGCATTCTTGATGCTTTTGACGGGTTTGATGATTGGGCACAACACATTTTGCTCCATTTATCAACCACTTCACCACTGATTGAAGCATACATGCAAAAACGGAACAAAATAGTGAATGATTGTCAACTGACGTTCATATTCATGATTGAATAAGTTAGAAATAAATTTCAAAGTAAACAGCGCATTCATCCGTAAGCAGTTTAGTCAGTTTCGTTATTCTATTGGAATTCTGGGCATATTATTTTGTATGTAAGACTTAAGATATGAAAAAATGGTTCACTACTTCATATAACATGGCCGTTTATTGAAGCAGTTGCGATACCAACCTGTTACAGGCTCCTTAATGTCAGTCTTCAATAGGAAAATGCCATATCATTAGGATCCGAACCTGTAGTTGTATTTTCCGCAACTCCTGATTTCCCGTGCACATCGTTTAACATAACCAGTCTCGTTTTTGTCTATCCATTTCCCATGTATTGGTACTGAACTTAACTAAAGTTCGATAGGATAGGGCAAAAGGTTGCTTGAAACAGAGTAGAGCACGATAGCAAAGCAAGTATTATCTATCTTGGCACTACTTTTACCGCGTATAATTCGGTTTGGCCTTGTTCATTATTCTTTGTACTTCACATACCCTACTACCGTAAAACTGCAGTTGATAGTCTCTTATAGGCGGCCACTGATTGCTCGTCGGTTCTGAGTTTACTAATATCAAGAAGCCTCCTACAGTGCACTATGATTGGTAATGCTTTCTACTGAACTACTCGGACGTCTCTGTCTGTAATTTGTAATTTGCATCTTTCATCTCTACGTACGCACGTCTATAATTTACGTTTAATGGTGTAACTTATAAACAGTAAGAATACATGATCAGGGGCTTCCCATCACAAAAATTATTAGCAAATATCTTCACAATTAAACTGGAAAACGGATTGCTCTCAAAACTCGAGGACGAAACCCCGTTCCACAAACGATATGGGGATTACGTTATATGTTTATACAACGCTCACAAAGATACTGATATTCTGTTGAGAAACTTTAAGTTAGATCACAATGGAATCAGATCTCTTAGACAATGCCGCATGCCAATACCTGTTTTTATCTCGATACATAGATGGTCCATGCGTAGAAACACTTATCATAAGAAAAAGATGAACGGGCCAGCATGCCGTAAATTTCATCCCGAGGCAAAGGAAAAAAAATCTGGTCAGCTGTTTCACTAATGGAGTCATAAAAATGTTTCTGCGGACTGTTAAATTTAAAGGTGAAAAATGCAAAGCGCTTTTCCAGATTGTCATTCATTTATCGAAAAATGATGAGATACCCTCCCTGGGCATTATGTGACACAGCCAATACGAAGCCTCTCCATTTCTCCATCCGATTCAGAGGAGATATCTGTGATAAGCCTGAGTCTAGTGATCAAAGTAGGAAAACTCTTATCCTTCAGGGATACTTTGAGCCCAATATTTTTTAAATTCTTCAATGAAGCCAACCCATCCTTAATTACGAGAAAGTCGCTGATCAAGAATGAGACAGCCGTCAATGGATTACTCCACTTAAGTCAAATAATATTTCACAAAGCCCTGGGTAAAAAGTTGCAATCCTATGCGGGATCATGGATAACACCGAGTTATATTTTTCATCGCCTGTCCATTCAATAAATTATATGGATCGCTAAGACATATTTAGACTATGAAATGATACGATGGGAACAATAAATGAGAAGTGCGTTTGGTCGGATTCACTTGAAGTTACAGCGGATTTGCTTGAAGTTAGAACGGCTTCCATTGAAGTTGTATAGACATAATGGCCGAGCGGTGGTGGTCCGCTGGCAACGTTATCAAATTATTACCCCGAAGGACGTGTATTTGAGTCCCATTACCACCGTCTTACTTTCTCCATTCTGTGTTCCTGTCAGAACTCGAGCCGCGAATTTTTGGGTTGGAACTGCAGAACCTTACCCCTAGGCTACACAGTCGATGGCTATCACCTTGTGCGAATGTTTCAATCAATTTTAGAATAGCACAAAACGTACGCACTGCTAACAAGTCCCAAACAGGACGAAACAGCTGTCCACTGCTCTTTGTTAGTTATCACAGACATTTTCATAACATGTAAATGCCTTCAACTTGTGGGAAATTAAAGATCTCCTAAGGAATGAAACCCATACTCAAGACCATCAAGATTACCTGGTGCCTCTTAACAATCGAATGGGCTAATCCAGGCTTGATACACTAAAATCTGCATCATTATGTATTCAAGAAAAGGAAGCAAAAATAAAAAAATAGAAAGAAGTCCTCGTTCACGAACTCTCATTCTGCCATCCACTGTTGCACATCTACCTCTCTCTTGTTCACTTTCCACACTGGCACAAACCATGCATACCAATTATCACAGTGATATAATCGCATTCTACGCTCTGAATTCTTCCGCAATTGTCTCTCCACTAACCATCTGTTTCGTCTATTATAAATTGCACTGTATTTTGACAGTTGATATACAACCGGCATTTTTAAATATTTTTGTATTGGCAAAAGCAGTGCATTTCAATAAACAGGCCCTATAATAGATCCAGTTCAATAGACGATGTGTAACGGCTAAAGCGTAAATCTAACTATGGCATCCTGATANAATGCGATTAATAAATTAATGGACTGACCGCCTTTCAGGTTTCATCTTCACACGCAATCCCCAGTTCAACCAGTCACCCTATCCACACTCAAAGTTAACTGAGTTGAACGAAAGATTGTTGGATTCACTTTTATTAGTACAGAATACACTTGAGTCGATTCACATAAAACTGATGAAGTCTGTTCTCTATTGCCGAGCTCTATCCTTTGTTTTCGTTTCTCTCAAACGCTTTCCTTTGGCATGTTTCCTAGCTAAAGCAATCCTTTCAGGAAATTAATTTCAAAAGAAAAGACCATATCGCAATACTGCACGATTTATGTCCGGCACTATTTAGCTGCATATTGTGGTACATACTGCAGAAAATGGTATTTATGTATAAGACTTAATCATGACCAAAAAATAGAGTAAAATACATTGAAAAAATCAGAACATAAAAAAGAGGGAGAGGTAAAAGAACCATGTCACCAGGGTAAGGACAAACTAACACAAAGTTCTTCTTGTTGAGAGAGAGGGCCTTCCATCGATTAATAACAATTGCTTCAGTAAACCTTAGCAGCCTTGTGAATCGTGACTTGATGACAATCCGAAACGCTGTTTCAGTTGATCTGGTGTTGCGTCATCAGCAAATGTTGAGCAATGGCTAAGGACGATGACTTATAGTTACAACCGTCTTTTCTAAGCCGCGGACTTGCGATTGATTGCCTCATCTGATGTTTCACCGAATTGGGATTATGTTCCACCACCGATCGCGTAATTGTCGCTCTGTTCTGCCCACGTAGGCCGCTGTGCACCCACATTGGAATGGGTCTATTAGATTAGAGTTGGCGGACAGAGGTAGACGTTCATTAGTCTCCTCGCCCCCTTCTCTATGTTTTATCTGCTTTTCCTTACTTTATTGCCTTGATTAAAACCTATATAAACATTACATTTTTTGCAGTATGCTCCATGTTGAGATGCAGTGAAACAGTCCTGGACGTAAATCGTGCAATACTCCCAGTTGTTTGAAAACTGTTCACGTCTTTCCAATTTTTGAACGAGAATAGACCATCCTATGAACGTAATAATTACTGAATCTTCTCGCCGTCTCGTCCGTTTGTAAGGTCTTGTTATCTGTTCGCATACATTTTCCAAACTTGATAACCACGACGATCAGTTTACGGTCTTCCTAAATATTTCTTAGGTGACCTCTTTGTAAACATTCTTCATTTTGAGC